TCAAGCTGGCGGGAGGGCTGTTGGCATTTGATGGCAGAGGCCAGACTCCCCCGCCCAGGGCAGGGCAGCAGAGTGGCAGGGCGCTCTCAGGGCTGGGGCCTGAGTTGGGGGGGTTCCTGCAGCATTAGTAACTCCAAAGTGTTGGGAAGGGGCTCCCCTGCTTTCCTGTCGAGGTGCTGCTGGCGTCTCTCCCGGTACTGGGGCTGACATTTGCCTTCCCCTGGGGCCCGTCCCTGCGTCCTCCTCCCGAGGGGGTGGAAACTGTGCACCCCTGCAGGGTAGAGTTGCGGGGCGCCCTGGAGAGGAGGTGAGAGAGCCTGGCAGGCCCTGCACCGCGAGCCCTGCTCTCCCTCCCCACCAGGGGTTGGTCGACCCTGCCACCTTCCGCCTCCTTCCCGTGAGCATTGCTCTGGCTGCCTTCTGCCTCTGGGGCTTCCTCTGCAGCCCAGGGAGGCCAAGGACTGGAGTGGCACACCTCTGGGCACGGTCCTCACCGCAGGCAGTGCATTTGGCACCTAAGTGCCTCGGTCTTGGGCGGGGGGCATGTCCTTCAGGAGCTAGTGTCCCCAGAACCCATCCTGCGCAGATGACCAGGGCTTGAATTCTTGCCCTTAGCCTGCTTTTTTGTTTTTTGTCTTTTTGAGGCAGGGTCTTGCTATGTAGTTCAGGCTGGCCTTGAGCTCACTTTGTAGCCCAGGCTGGTCTCGAACTCACAATGATCCTCCTGCCTCAGCCTCCCGAGTGCTGGGATTAAAGGTGTGCACCACCATGCCTGACCCATTGGCCTGCTTCTGAGAGAACCTAACTCAAGAGGGAGTAAAGCCCAGGCTGGCAGCCTGGGCAGAGCTGTAGGTAAATGCCCCTAGGCATCTTCCAGAAACCCCAGTGGAAGGTGTGGGAGGAAAAAGCTCTTTTCCCACCCGCCCTGTGGTCCTTTGTGGGATGCTGTGTGAGCAGGAGTGTTGGGGCTGCAGTAGCTATTTTGTGACCAAGAGGAGCGACACAGACCACATTCTGAACACAGCAGGGCAGGGCAGAAGGATGGAAGCCAGGCCCCCTGATGGCACCTGGCCTCCTGCACAGCTTGAGGGTCACCTCCTTTGCATTTCTAGGTAAGGGGACAATAATGCCCTTATGGGTTAAACCACATATGCTTGGGGTTTCTGCTGCTTGTTAAGCATATCTACTATTACTATGGCCCTTTTCCCTCTATGGTTTGATTTTTTTTTTTTTTTTTTTTTGAGACAGGGTCTCGCTATATAGTTGAGGCTGACCTTGAACCCATGGTGATCCTCCTGCCTCAGCCCCCTGAGGGCTGGGATGACAGGCCTGCACCACCACGCACTGGGGCCTTTGTCTTCTTTGGAACTGGCTCCTCTTTCAGCTAGCCTGAGCCTCCAGCTGGGGGCAGCAGAGAGGGCAAGAGAGGCTTGGGGTGGGAGGCAGAGGGGGCCCACAGGCTTGCACTCCACAGGTGCTTGAGGACCCGAGTCCGGGAACAGAAGGGACAGAGAGGTGCTGGTATCCAGGGTCCCAAGGACAGGGTGGAGGAAGGCAAATCACCCGTCCATCCAGGCAAGGCGTGCGTTGTTATTGTTATTGTTCTGCTGCAGCATCTCAAGGCTGGCCTTCGTGTTGGCCCGGCCAGGCCCCCAAATGGTCCCATAAATCCCGGCCATAAAGAGTAATGAGGAGAGACAGATGAGATAATTAGGAATAAATCTCACCGAGGTCTCTATCCATCAGCGGCCCCGGAACCGGCCAATCTTCCGAGCCATTAGCCGGGCCCCTAATTAATGCTGAGCTGCCCAGCTCTGCTGGGGGCTCCACGGCTGGGAGGTACCCAGGCTGAGGGCACCGCTGCCCCCACAGTCCACCGTGGGCGACCTTGGGAGAAGCGGAGGATGAGCGCGTGTCCTGTCTCCCGGGCCCCACTGTGCCCGCACTGTTCTTTTGACGTCTCTGCCTCTGCCTCCTTTCCCCATCTACTCAGCCCCGGTGTCCCTCTCTCATCAGATGCCACTGAGGCAGGAAGATCTGAATTAGGAGTCGTGGGGCCACCTGTAAATCCTGGCAAGGACGCCATCCATACCCCAGCGGCAACAGTCCCTTCTCTCGGGCTGTCCTTAGGGTTGAACTTGCCATCCTCCTGCCTCAGCCTCCCAGAGTACTGAGATTATAGGAATTCGTGCTACCATACCAAGCAGCTCCTGCTGTTTTAATCTGCCAATCTTCCCCCTTTTTAATTCCACACAGCATCCCTACTTATTTGGGGAGCTTCTCCTCCCCAGTTCTGCATTCTCCTTCTGGAGGGGCAGCCAAGTAACCAACCGTCTCTGGCCACAGAGATGACGCCTGTCTTTGGCCTGACCAATCACAGTCCTCCATTTCCTGGGACAGTGATTGGCCAGTGGTGGGCCTATAACACAGACCTGGCCAATCAGAGTCCTTCCCTGAACTTTACTATGGCGGCTCATGGCCCTCATATAGGAACACATGGAGAGGAGCAACAGCACAGGAGGAGGGGCTGGGCCCGCTGTTCCTGCTCTTACCCAGGGCCCTGTCCTCTGCATAGGGCTGTCCTGAGGGTGCCACACTGCCTCCCTAGCTGTCACGGGGCCCTGGTGCCCAGGGCCAGCAGTAGGATATCTGCAGTCACCCTGAGCCTCAGGGACCCGCCTGGCCACCCACCTTTGCCTCGTCTCCCCTGGAGCCAGTGGAGGTCTGGGACATAATTACATGTGGGACGGGCAGCTGCTTAAAGTTTCCACAGGCCGGCCCTTCTGGGGCCAAAAGGTTGGCTTCTTACGGCTTTGTGTGCCCCACTCTGGGCACCAGAACAGGGGGTACCCCTGAATATGGGGGCGATGGAGATTATGGAGGAAATGGAGCTGACCCTCCCTTGCCAGCAGGCTCCTGGCTTGGTGACTTGCTGTCACCCTGGCCCCGTCTGCTCTCCACACTGGGGATGCTCACCTCAGCGTGGACAACCAGGGCGAGGGCAGCCCCTGAGCAGTCTCCTGGTTGTCCTGGTTGCCCCGACCCTGGACCGTCGGACTTCTGGAGGCACGGTGGGGTCCACAGGAAGCTAAGGCGCAGAGAGTAATGGGACCTTCTACCTGGGACCCGCAGCAGGGCCAGGCTGAGAACTGTCACCCGGCCCAGCCACCTGGTGTGGTCAGAAAACAGGGATGGGGCCCACGGGGTCTCCTCAGGAGAGGGGAAGGGTCCTGGTTTTCTCTGGAGGCGGCAGGGAGGTGGGTGGTGGCCTGCACGTGAATGCCATCTGCTGCCAGCGGAGGTGAGGTGGCTGGGCACAAGCAAGGAGGCGGGGGAGGCAGGACGGGCAGAGGGTGCAGGGCTGGGCCCGGGGCTCTGGGCCCCGCACGGGCTCTGAAATGGGCAGTATGAGAGGGGAGTGAGTGGGGCGTGTGTGCACGTGCGTGGTGTACAGGGCAGTATGCGTGTGGTTGTGCGGAATGATATATGTATGTGACCGTATGGAGCGTGTATGTGTGTGTGTGCGTGTGCATGCGTGTGTGCACACGTGTCGGGGGGCCGGCTAAATCCCGCCACCCCCACCCTTGGCGGCTCAGGTCTCAGGTCTCAACCACTGTCCTAAAGCCAACACCTCAGGCAGCCTCGGCAGGAAGCCAGGGTTTGGAATGCACGGCGCCTCTTCCTGCCAGGCAGCCCCAGGGGCCAGGAGGGGCCTTCCTGCCCACCTGTGCCAGACGCCACAGGCTGGCCCTTCGGAGGACAACTGGGCAGCGCCCTGGGGCCCAGCGTCGCCACCTCCCGCAGCGTGCTATGAGCCAGCTCGGCCACGACGAGGGGCGCTCACACAGCTGTATCCCAACAGAGGGGCCAGGGAGGGCGAGCTCATCACTACTCGGTGGCCTGGCCACCCAGCCGGACGCCAGGGCCTGGGCCTGTGATAATCAAGCCCCCCAGGTGCACAAGCAGGTGACAAAGTCAAGATGTGGCATGGGGTCTGTGCGCTGTCCTCGCACTTTATAAAAAGAGAGAACTCGCGTGACGGCCCCACGCACACACAGGCGGGGCTGGGAAGTTGTGCACGGTGTGTGCACACGCAGAATAAAAGTTAGAAACAAGTGAACACAGGTGAGCGAACATGAGGTCCCGAGCGCGTGACCCAGGGCAGGTTCCTTCCTGTCCTCCCAGTTTTGGGTGAAAATCTGGAAGTGGGCAAACAGGCCCGAGGCGTGCCCCCCAAGGCCCACTCCCTTGGCAGGACTCCCACCCTTGGTGACATTCCGAAGCAGTCTGGATCCCATCGGGCCCCCTTCAGAGTGCCCCTCTGCCTTTCCGATTGCCCGAACCACTCCTGACATCGGCCCGGAGAGCAGCGCCCACCCGCGTCCCTGGGCACGCACTCTCTAAGGCCCGCCTCAGAGCTGCCCAAGTCCTTGCTGTGCGACATCTCTGCTCCTCTGGCTCCTGGCTTCCTGGAGACCCAGTGCGTGTGTTGCCCCTGCTCCCTTGGGGTCCACACTGCTCCGCACAGCTTTGCGGTACTGAGGTCTCCCTTCTCTCTGCACCCCAAGGGCATGGACAGCTGGTCTCTGGGCTCCTGACTCAGGGTCGTGTTTTCTCAGCCCCTGGTGATAGGGAGCAACTGAGGCTGGTACACGACCCTCAGTCTGGCCCCAGCTTGCCTCCCAGCAAGGCCCGCACACACCGGGGTGCTGCCAGCCCTGAGCTGCTGTGGGCACTGCCCTGGGCCTTGCAGTGATTTCACAGGGGCGAACTGGAGGGCTGCACTCAGCGGCAGATTAATTAATCAAAACCCGAACACATCTACTGTTAATTAATCCTGTGCCAAGGTTGACTCTTCTGGCTCTGGGTGCCCTTCCCTGGGGAGGGGTGGTGGCCCCCCTTCCTTGTAGGGGATGTGAATGAGGGAGGAGGGGAGGGACAGGTCACGGGAAGGGGAGGGGGGAGTTTGCTTGAGCAGTTGGTCATGAGGCAGGAGGACGTGGAGATGAACAAGTATCTTTATTTACAGCGACAAATAGAACAGACCCTCTGCGCCCCTCCAGTTTTCGCCATGCTGTCCCTACTGTCCCAGCCCAGCCCTGGCCTCCAGGTCACTTTGTGGGCCAGAGAAGGACGGGCGGGGCTTGGCAGGCCGGGAAGGGGCTCTTTTCACATTTCGCTGTCCTCCAGCTGGGGCAGCAGGAGAGGGGACGCCAGGAGACAGGCAGAGAAGCCCACGGCCCTGCCCCCCGTCCCTCCCCTCCCCGGCATTCACAGTGTTCTACAGCCCTGGCGCCCTGCCCCATCCCACCCTGGGAGTGCCCGGGCGGCCTGGGCGTGCGTCTGTCCGTCCCTGTGCCCCTTGCTGGTCAGGAGGAGAAGCAGAGGCCACAGCACTCCATGCAGATCTCCAGGCAGTCGGCCGACTCGCAGCACGCGTCCAGGATGCCGCAGTCCAGGTCGCAGGGCAGGTCGCAGTCGGCGCACTCTCCGGAGCCGCAGCAGCAGCAGCACAGGCTCGAGTCCTCGGAGCCGCAGGAGCCGCACGTGGCGCAGTCCAGCACCAGGTTGCAGAGGGTCAGGAACTCACAGAACAGGCAGGACAGCACGCAGTGCACGCAGCAGTCTGGGGACGAGCGGGGCCGGAGAGGACACAGTGGGGACCCAGCTGGCTGGGCTCCGGGGAGCGGGCACGGCGCCCAGCCCAGCATCTTTAGGGAGGTGATGACCCTGGGCTCAGCGATTCGGGCCCATCAGAGCAGGGCTCACATCAGGCAGCTGGTGGGGCGTGCTGCACTTGACCTCCCTCAGCTTGCTGGCCTAGGAAACACCCTGCGGGTGACAGGTCCCTCGCCTTGTGGGAGTAAGCTTATGCAGAGCTTCTGTGACACTAAGATTGGGCCTCAATGAGCCCATTCTATAGATGCAGAAACCGAGGCATGAGGTTTAGGAACCGAGAACGGCTCCTAGAATCCTACAGGGGATTCTTTAACCCTGGGGAAATGCAAACCCACAAACCCCCTTCACCCCCAGGACCCTGAGGCCTGCTCTCCCATCACCCGCCTGTCCTCTGACACACAGCCTCGCCCTGAGGGTCTCCCGAGACCCTGCGCGGTCCAGCTGAAGGGGGAGGGTCCTCTCCGCCCTCCGGCCCCATTGGAACTGGCTGGGCCGTGCCCCTCACATGCACACCTCGTGAGTCACCACCCTGTGCCTCCCTGTGGCTCTCCAGATACAGTGTGGGTCCTCTCGGTCCCTGTCACCTCCCTGGCTGGGTCTTCCACTCAGCCTCACTGCCTGCAGCCTCCCCTGCCCAGTGTAGGTGGCAAAGGTGTTCCCACGTTAATCCGACCCTCCTTCTCTCTGCAGTTGTCACAGGCATGAGACCAGGGGCAGAACCTGCGTCCTGCTCTGGGCAGCTTCGGGACCCATCTCCGACAATCAGCACGCTGAATGCAGGCCAGGGTCCCCCGGCGTGGATGGGGCAGGGGTCAGGCAGGCCCTGAGCACAGACAGCAGAACTGGGAACCCAGGTGGCAGAGGATGTTGGTGCTACAAGAGCAACAGCGGGTGGTGCTGTGCATCCTCTGACCCCTCAGGCCCAGCCGAGCACCATTACACTCTGCCCAGTGCTCGGCCTTCACTAGCCGGATGGTCCACGCCTCCAGGAAAATTTCTCTCCTTTTCTTTGTTTCTGGTGCTGGGGACCAAACTCGGGGAACCCAGGATCTTGCATGCGGCATGCACGTGCTCTACCACTGAGCTGCACCCCCCAACCCCTCCAGGAAAATTCCTGATTTCAGAAATGCAGTGGTTTCCTCGGCACTGGCCCCAGGGCCCCAGGCCATGTCCGAGCACTTCTCAGAGAGCAGGGTGGGAGGGGCTCAGCCTCAAGAATGTGGCATTCCTCAGTTTACCCAACAGGTGTGCTCTGCAAGGCTGGCAGATCCGAGTACGCATGAAGGGCTCTGGGGACTCAGCTCCCGGGCCCCAAGCAGAAATTCCGGCCTGGGCTTCTGCATTTCTAGCCCGCCCCTGGAGGCCACGCTACTGCCGCTGGCTGCGGGCCAGGCCGTAAGAAACAGGCTGGGCAGGGCACTTACCTTCCTGCGCCTGCAGGGGGATCTGGGAGGAGGCCGACTTCGTGCTGCCCTTGCCCTTCTTGCTGCCCTGGCTGGCCAGAGACGGGTGCGTCTGCAGCTTCCGGTGGGCCTTGGGGCCCCCAAGAGCACCATTCCCCGCCTGCCTGGCACTGCCCGGCTCTGAGGGGTGGCTGGAGCCATTTGGCAGTAGTGGGGTGCAGCCCAAGGGGTTCCCCTGAGGCTGGCCTGGAGAGGTGAAGAGAAAGGATGCTGGGGGAAGTGTGGAGGCCCCTGACAACCCCCAGTTCTACCTGACACACCACAGGGCACCCCGCCAGGCTGTCTTCTGCGGAGGTGAAACCGAGGTCCATAATTGAAAGCTCAGAGCCACGCCACGAAACAGCAGCAGGCTGGATCCCAGCTCCCGGCTCCCAGTCCAGGGTTCACCCCACAGAGGCAGAGGTGCAAGGTGAAGGGGTGCTCAGAGCCTGCACCCCACTTCCTGTTTTGTTGAGACAGGGTCTCACTAAGCATAAGTTTAGGCTGGCCTTGAACTAGCAGCAACCCTCCTGCCTCAGCCTCCCAAGTGCTGGAATTACAGGCATGTGTGCCACCACGCCCGGTTTAAGACATCACTTTCTTACTCCACCTGAAACTCATTCTCCCGTTCTCGGAGTCCTGGGACTTTGACTATGGGGGACTGGATGAACGAGGACTGCAGTGAAGCAGTTAACCTTCCCCTCAGCTGCTGCCAAGCCCCCAGCTGTTTTTGCCCTTGGTGTGCTGGGTGATTTATTGGAAACATCTGTTTGGAGATTCAGCCTGGGCCTGGAACCCAGGGTTTCCTCAGGCAGTCCCCGTTTCCGGCTCCTTCTCCCTGAAACCCCTGCTCGAGCCTTGGCCCCCACCTCTGAGGCAGCAGCAGCAGGAGTAGGGTGGGGGCCGTGGGGTCCAGGGAAGAAGGAAGAGGAAGCTGGTGGGGGGACTCCAGCTGCCTCCCAGGGCAAGGCACCGAACCTCAGCTTTGTCAGTGGGGTACAGCAAGCTGACCCCTAGCCAGTGCCCAGCTCCTTCCTGGACCTCACTTGGGCAGGCCGGGGTGGCAGTGAGGGCAGGCATGTGCTCTTGGGGCCTCAGAAGGGGCTGTGGGCACTTGGGATCCCCATCCAGGCCTCTGTAAATGCTGGATTCTTTTTTCTTTTTTTTGGTCTTTTTGAGACAGGGTCTCCCTGTGCAGTTCAGGCTGGCCTTGAGCTCACTCTGGAGCCCAGGCTGTTCTCAAACTCGCACCTATCCTCCTGCCTCAGTCTCCCGAGTGCTGGAATTATAGGTGTGCGTCACCGCACCCAGCTGCCTCTGTAAATGCTGGGTACTTCTGTCCCCCGGGGTGGGATGTGGGTCCCAGACCCCGCAGGCTGGAATGCACAGACGATGACAGAGGGGAGGGGGCCTGGCCTTCTAGCAAGGGCAGTGGTCACAACATGGAGCACTTACTGAGGACCCACTGCACGCCAGCCAACCATTTAGGCACTTGCTGAATATTCTTGCACTGCGTCCTCGACAGGGGAGCACCCCATTTTCACTGATGAGGAAACAGAGTCCCAGAGTCGACCAGCCTGGAAATTAGAGCTGGCACTCAGCAGGCGGATAGGCAAGCAGGGGGCAGAGGATCAAATCCCAGGTTGCTACCACTTATGTTTAATTTTGAGACAGGAACTTGCCAAGTTGCTCGGGAGGAACTTAAACGTTCCATCCTCCTGCCTCAGCCTCCCAAGCGGCTGGGATTACTGGAGCAGTTCACGGGTTTGAGCAGTTATTCTGTACCAGGAGCAGCATCAAAAGCTTTTCATGTTGTTGCTTCTTTAAGCATTGCAAGAGAGAGAGAGAGAGAGAGAGAGAGATCTCTCTGTGGTTCCATTTTACAGATGTGAAAAGTCAGACCCAGAGAGGGCAAAACTTGCCAAAGGTCCATCAGCCCAGAAGTGCAGGGCACAGGCCTGCAGGCTGGGAGAACGGAGCCCAGGAGGAGGGAAAGGAGGGGAGACTCTGGCTAGAGGAGTGGCTGGGCCCCTATGTGGGTAAACAGGGGCAAGGCCAGAGGAAGTGGCCAGGCCTGAATCATCCTGCCCGCCTCCTGGCCCCAAGGGGGCCTGGCCGGGCCTTGGCTGGCTGTGTTGCCCCTTGCCCTGCTGCCTAAACGGGCGCAGCGGGCAGCCGGGGCGGAGTGTGTGGCGAGCCGGGTACGGGCACAAGAGTGCGCCTGCGGCCTTGGCTGTGGGGCAGTGTGTGGCTGAGTCACAGAGCAAACAATGGGGCCACAGACAGCACTGTCTGTCCCACGTCCACCCGGGCCCTGCTCCGCGGCCACCGCGCTGACCTCCTCTCCTCGCTGCCGGCAGGGGTGTGTCTGGTGGCGGCTGAGGGCACGGAGCTGGCGGACTCGGTGCCCGGCTTCCAGGGAGCTGGCCTGGCCCCAGATGTCCTGGCCGGAGGTGACGCCCGGTGCTCCAGCCAGCTGGGCAGTCAGCACAGCACAGAGCCCACCGCCAACCTGGGTGCCCTGGCCTGGGATCGGGGCGAGCAGGTCTCTGTGCCTCAGTTTCCTGCCTGTAAGATGGGCTTGACCACAGGTATCCTGATGCCCCACTACAGGCTAACCTGCAAGTATAAGCGCTTATGCCAGCACAGCAATTTGGGAAGTAAAAATGTGTCTGCATGTGGGGACGCACCCCTGTAATCCCAGCACTCAGGAGGCTGAGGCAGGAAGACTGCTGTGAGTTCAAGGCCAGCCTAAGCTACACAGTGAGGTCCAGGCCAGTCTGAACTACATAGGGAGATTCTATCTCGGAAAAAAAAAACAAAAAAAACAAAAAACATGCCCGTGGGTTTGGGGGAATCGTCATTAGTTACTAAAAAATGAGCACTTGGGGCTGGGGATTTAGCTCAGAGGCACAGCATCTGCCTGGCAAGCATGAGGTCATGAGTTCGAATCCCAGTACCCGGAAAAAAACAAAACAAAACACAAAAATGAGCACTCTTCCTGTGTGCCCTGGGTTCCCTGGAAGATGCAGCAATCTCGGCTCTGATCCCACCCACCCCAGCCTTTCCCTCCAGCTGAGCACTGCTCCTGCGGCTGCCCACCCTTGAGGGCCTGGCCAAGCGGGCAGCCAGGTGCTCCCTGCATTTCTGACAATTCATCTGGGTGGGATTCCGCCCTTACATGTTGCTGTCCCAGCCTATGGTCCCCAGGGACTCACACGTCACAGCTTCCGTGGGGACACTGAGGTCAGTGCTGTCCAGGGCTTGCGGAGCCCCAGGGCCATTGCCTTGGGGCATGGGAGGTGCTGCCTCCTCCAGGGAGCCCTCCTGCGATGCTGCTTCCACAGGGCGAGCAGGTCCTGTTCCTACCTCCAGCCCAGGCAGGAGCCTCTCCCTCTGGGCTGGGGAGAAAGCAGAGGGCCAAGGTGTATCCCCAGGGTGCCTTCCGGACTGCCCAGCCGGGCCCCACCCCACAGCTCCTGTGCCCCCTGAGCCGCATTCTTGGCCCTACACCAGGTACTCAGCCCGTTCCCTGTCTGGCACCGCCATGGACACCCAGAAAGCCTAGTCCCCAAGGGTGCGTGAGCAAGGGCGTGCGCTGTGTGCACCGAGACGGTGTCGGGAGAGGCAGGTACCCAGCAGAACAGGGAGGGGGGACGGGGACAGGCGTCAGGGCGACGGGGAGAGAGTCAGATGGGGATGGGACAGCGTGACAGCAGGCAGGGGAGGGGCAGGGGAGAAAGGCAGTGGTGCGGGAGGAGGGACGGCAGGAAGCGGGTCAGAGAGCAGGACCCTGGCCTGGCAGGAGGAGCCGGGGCAAGAGACAGGGCGGCCAGGGCGCAGGCAGGGGAAGAGGCCGCACAGGTAATTACAGTGTTTAGACCAGGAGCCACCTTCAAACCCATAGCTCTGCCGAGGGGAGCGGGGAGCAAGGAGCCCGAGCTCTGGGTCACAGCCCGGCCCAGCCCAGGCTGCACAAGGCGGCCCGCGCCCGGAGTGTGCCCGGCCTCCCCCACCCCACACACACCATGCGGGGGACGGCGCAGACTGAGACGCCCAAGGGTGGCTGGCCACACAGAGGGCTGGAGAAGACAGACGGACAGCAGTGTGACCTGAGAGTGAAAGACAAACCCCGCCACACACGTACCACAGAGACAGCAAGGGGGAGCGCGGACAGAGACCCAGACGGAGGCAGAACTGCCTTGGAAACTGAGCTATAACCTGTCCCGGAGAACAGAGCGGGCTTCTGTGTGGGCCTGTCACCACGGGAGGGCAAGAGCGAAGGCAGGGGTGAGAACAGGGGGGATGAGGAGAGATCCACTGAGGCTGTGCACACAGGACTCCTGGGCTCAGTGGGGCTGGACACAAGCTGGCCCTGAACCTTCAACCTGAGAAATTCTTGTTCCAAAGACGCTGGTCCCTCAGGCCCCTGGGGATAGAGGTCCCGGAGGCCTATGTGGGTGGCAGAGAGGACCTGGGCAGGCGGTGACTTGCTCAGGGTAAACCACAGGCCCCATTGGAGCAGGGAGTGGGGGCGGGGCGGGGAGGGCGTGGCGCCTGGGTCTCCGCTGGGCGCCCTTCCTGTTCAGGGCCGCTCCTGCCCCACCCCCACCAGCTCTTCAGGCCTGTCCAGAGCCGCCCTTGCCACCAGGATTGACCACAGACAGGTCAGACAGCTTTTGGAAGATCACAGCAGGGACAAAAGGGGACAGACATGTGGAGACGCAGCCCAGGAGCTCAGGGCCGGGGTCCTAATTTCCAGGGACAGTGGGGCCTGGTAGCCCTGGCTCTGAGGGGTGCTGCCATGGCCCCGGGCCCTGACCCAGGATCCTGCCTCCCCACGGGGTATAATGAAAGGCAGTGAGGAGCAGGAAGGTCCAAGTCGGTCACCAGCTGGGGCAGGTTCCAGCAATCCGGTCAGCTTGTGTGTACAGGGGACCCGAAGGCTTGGCCCTTAGGATTCGAAGGAGCGCAGCAGGCCTGCCTGGTGGTCAAGGAGAGGCTCTGCCCCAAAGTCTGCGGGGTGCACAGGGGTGACCCTGTTCGTGCTGTAGCAGACAGAGCCCAGATTTCTGCTCTCTTGGCCCCCAGGGTTAGAGAGGGGGAAGGTGGGAAAGAGTGCAGGGGACTGGAGTCCCCTCTGCACCACTCCTCACGGCCACCAGCATGGCTGGCAACCTCAGCCTCCATCAGGAAGCTCTGGACCGCAAGGCCGAGGCCGGCCTGCAGCAGCTGGCCATTCTGCCTGAGTCTCAGACCCGGGGAATGCGAGGAAAGGCAGAAAGCAGTCTGTGGTCTGGACCTGGACACACAGATGGACAGGAGAGGTCCCAACAGGGACTCAGCACACCAAGAGCAGAACAGGAGCGAACCACATGCTCAGGGACAGGCAGCAGAATCAGGGAAAGCTGGGTGTGGTGGTGCACACCTGTCATCCCGGCACTTGGGAGGCTGAGGCAGAAGGATCGCCGAGAGTTGGAGGTCAGCCTGAACTACATAGAAATTCAAGGCCAGCTTGGGCTACGTAGTGAGACCTTGCCTCAAAAAAGAAAAAAAAAAAAAAAAAAAAGAGAGAGAGAAAAGAAAAGAAACAGAAGAATCAGAAGGAAGAAAAGAGGCAGCAGTAGCGAAGCCCAGGTTAGGAAGGCTCGGCCACCCCAGAGACCCTGACATGGACAAGAGCAGCCCTGGGTGCAGGAGGAGCAGCAAAGCCACACAGGTGGCAGGGTGACGTGCACACATGTCAAGAGGCCACGGAGCCAGCTGTCCCTTTGTGAACAAGGGACATCACTGTCCAGGAGAGACATGCAGAGCGCCTGTGAGGAGCGGCTCTCAGAGGGCGTGTGCGTGTGTGTGTGTGTGTGTGTGTGTGTGTAGTGGCAGGGCAAGGTGCTTGGCGGGTGATCGGGTGGGGCTGGAGCCCCCAGCTGGAGCCCTGCTGTCCCTGCTCACCTGACGGGGCGGCACCAGCATGCCCATGGCACCTTGGAGCAGAAACCCCAAGCCTGAAGCCCCATGCACCCTGCCCCTATGGGTTTCCTTCCCTCCAAGCCCGGGCAGCGCTGTGAGCGCTGGTGTGGGAGGGGCCGCGTTCCAGAGCTCCAGTGCCTGGTCCCTCCAAGCCAGCCCCTCCTGGCTCTGTGGACAGTGGCCTGGGCTTCCCCTTGGAGCTCCAATCAATCCGCTCTGGAGAGAAGCCGGGACCTTTCTGATCTGGAACCCTGTACTTGTCCCTGTTGGCCCTGCGTCCATACCCTCTGCCAGCATCTTACACGGATCCAGCGTGCAAAGGTCCTGGGTTCCAGGCATGCCGTGGCTCTTGGCCACCACCAGGACTGCTGACCGGTCTGCCTAGACTTACATGGTGCCTCTTGACCGCTGTCCAAACCCAGCCCATCCTTCCTGACCCAGCTGGAGCCTCTCTTCCTCCGCAAGCCTTCCCTGACCCCAGGCCGGCAGCGCCTCCTCCAGGCAGTGCAGTTGCTGGAAACTTGGTGCTTGTGTCCCCCTCGCTGGTCATAACTCGGTCACAGAGACCTGGCTGTTCGAGGGGACTGCAGCCTTCCCCTTCCCCTCCACTGGGGTGGCTGGGTTTGCCGCACCATGGAGGGTGCTCAGCACAGGTGAGTGCCGTGTCCTGGAGTTCAGGGCGCCCCAGGTCAGAGAGACAGAGAGGCTGGAGATAGTGGACTCCTCTGATGTGCATGTGGTCCTAGGCCACCAAACTAAGCTGTTAGCTAGGCGGGGTTGCCTTGGTTTTATTTTAGGTCCAAAGGCTCTGGTTCCCCAGGAAATTCGATTTAGAACCTGGTGCAGGAATGTGACACCGAAGCGCTGGGCAGAAGTCTGCCGCGGGTTGGGAGCCAGGCTCCTGGGGCTCCGGGGACGGGTAAGGAGGCGGTCACTGGGGGAGCCAAGGGTGTGGGCTTGGCCACCTGCCCCAGCCAGGGCTGCTGAGTCCCCCGCGTCCCCTCTACATCTTGGGCAGCTAAGGAAGGGCCCCTGGCCTTGCCGCCCTGCACTGGCCCGCGGGGGCGTGGGGGGCTCGGCCTCGGCTTCAGGCGTCTGTGGGGTTTTGGCTAGGTCGCCTGCGGTTTGGGCTTCCTGGGCAGCAGGCTCAGTCTCCCAAGACGACGGCAGGAAGGCAGAAAGAGGCCTGTGTTATGAAAGCCGCATTGTCTGGCCTGGGCCGCCCCGGGGAGGGGGTGCACTGGAGTACTGGGGGCCTCCAGGTTCTGCTCAGGAAGTGGTCCTGCCTGGAGCACACTGACCCGGGCACAGGTCAGATGGGTGGGTCTTGGAGGAGGGGGAGGCCGTAGTGAGGACAGAGAAGGCGGATAAGGGAGAAAGAAGCACGGGGGTGGGAGAGAGGAAGGAGGCGAGAGGAGGGAGGCCGGCGCGGTGGGGGGTTCGCAGCCCCGGCCCAGCATTCCCTGCAGCCTGCAGGCACCCCCATAGTGAACAAGCTCCTTCTGCAGAAGGGGCAGGGACTCTAGGGGAGTAAAGGTGGGGCAGGCACACTGGTCTCGACCCTGTGCTGGCCATCAGTCAGGCCGCTTCCCTCCGTCCCCACTCTGGTGTGAGGGACGCCGGCTCCAAGGTCCAGGAGGTCCATCTCGGGGAGACAGGATCCCAGCCATTTCCCCAACCGGACTTGGAGGCTGAGGTGGGGCAGGGATGAGGTGGAGGCAGAGGGGTGCAAGGGGTGCGAGGGAGGCAGAGCCTGGGTGACCCGGGGTTCCACTCGGTACCCGTCCCCTGCATGAATCCCAGCGCTCCCAACTTCCCCCAGGAGCCTAAGCTGGACCTGTGGACCGTGGGGTACTGGGAGCCCAGGGCAGACCCTGCAGGATGGCAACCTGCCTTGTCAGGAGTGTCCTGCCAATGCACACCCAGGACTTAGCTTCCGAGGTGGGGAAGAGGCCGTCCACCAGGTCACTGTGTGGCTGGGCCTGCAGGTCAGGACGGTGGGGCCCGGCAGGACAGTAAGCGGTAGAAGAGGGCAGAAGGAGGGAAGGGGCCGTCCCACAGCAGCCCTGGGCAGACAAAAGTTTTCGGGAAGCGCTGGGCTCTCCCTGGGCTGGGGGAGGGGAAGGAGAGGAAGGCTAAGGCAGCCCCACTCCCGCCAGCCAGAGGCCCCCGTAAATATTTACACACTGGCAGAAATGGTGGGAACACACATCCCAGGGCAGAGAGACAGATGCCTCGGGGCGTGTGCGCTATGTCTGTGTGTGCGCGGCTTTGTGTCTGCTGCGTGTGCGCACGTGTGTGTGTGTGTGTGTGTACACGCGCGCGCGCGCGCTGTGGGTGTGCTACGCCTGTGTGTCTGCTGCGTGTGCGCCTATGGGCTGAGGGGAGTCGGAGCCAACTTGGCGCAGCCGCCTCCGTTCCGGCCAGGCCTTCCCACCCGGCCCTCCACTATCCTTGGAGCGGGTCCCCGACACCCAGACTCCTCACCCCCACCCCACGGCGCTCCCGGGGCGTCTCCGCGCTCCTCGAGCAGGGGCAGGGAGGGAACCAGCCGACCCTCGCCCCCCTTCCCGCTCCTACCAGGCTCCTGGGCTGCGTCTGGGGCTCCATGGGGCGCGTCGTGGCGACAGGGGCTTTGGCCGCTCACCTGGGACATCGGCCCGGGACCTGCAGGGCACAGGGCTCAGCGGGCTGCGGGGGCTCGTGCGCTGTACCCCGCCGAGGGCCACAGCCCGGTGCCGCCCGCGCCCCCTCCTCCGC